CTATTACCCCGCAACGCCGGCTGAGTTTGGTATGGCTGGATGGACGTCAGTTACTCTTTCACGTAAAGTACATAAATAAATACGCAAATAAAGATTGTACTCGAAGTCTGGAATAGCATATAAGTTTTCCATATAGTGAAGGCCGATGATAGTTCAGTTTTTCTTACCTAATGTAGGTCAAATGTAGGTACGTACCGTATGTATGGTTTTTTATCAGTACGAGTTAATACTCAATACTTTATTAGCATTTCATTTGTTATACAGGTAGTATTTTTAAAGTCGAACAATATATTGGAAACAATATGGACCCGATACAGCACAACATAAATATAGAGATAGCGAGGCTTGCAGTACAAATCATCTTATTACCTAGACTAGTATTAAATGTATGCTTATCACTAAAACTTAATACAATTCAGGAAGTAATATAAATGTTTGTTTCTGAAACATTTACTGATCAAAATTTTTAATTAAGCATTAGGTAAATTGTACCAGTTGTGTAGGCAGTGTATTACAAAATTGAACTCTATGCAATTGGGATTGGATAAGAATTATTTCAGTGACTTTGCAGCAAAAAACAAAAACGACAAATATTAAGTAGGTACATACTTTTATTTAATAATTTCCTATTCAAGTATTAAATAACCCCTCCTATTTAACTGCAATGTCGCTGGCTCAAGATGCATTGGTGATTTCAAAGAAATTTTAAGTTCGAGTTTCCTCAGGTTTTTTTCCTTCATCGTTTATCTGTGGTGTCTAGATAACCTTCGAAAATACATATAAGTTGGTATAAGTCATATTGGTACTTGCTAAGTATCGAAGCCGCACCTCATGGTTGAGAAGCCACGATTTTTTTTTTCATTTAGTATTAAAGGTATATTTATTTTGTATTATCATTTAATGTTTGGGTAAACCAGCTAGGTTTTTGATTCGTTGGATTAGATCGATCTTGATTGCCTAATAATTTTGGATTCGCTGCAAACAAAACATCAAGAAGCATCATATCTTTTACATTAATCACTTTGTTTAAATGTACTTATCGATAAAATTAATGTAGGTAGAACACTTTTCATGTTTTAATGAACTGTTTAAATCCAGATAACAGAATACTTGCAAACTTTATATTTATTAGGTATTACTATGTGCCTCTGAATTTTACAGTCGCAATCACTTTTATTTTTAGTAGTATTTAAGACTCAAATGAATCCACTGACGTGATTTACCGTAAGGCTGCATCAATTGGGAAGAGATTACTAACGACTGAAGTCTTCAACCTTTTTTACAAATATGTGATACCATATTTAGGTAATCATATTCATTTTCTTGTGGTAGTCATGTTCTTGCGTCCGCGTCTAGGCAAATGGCGTGTAGAGCGCCCTGAAGCTAGATGGATTGACGATATTTGGATTAATGATAGGATAATGACAGTGGTTGTATGAGAAGAGCTAAACATCGAGCTCAGTGGTGTCCAATTGGAGATACCTATGTCCAGCAGTACGCGAAATCGGACTGACGATTCAGAAATTTTGTTACTACAACAGCCAAAAAATAACTCAGAATGATTTAATTGCAAATAGATTCGTAATCCGAGTACGAACATGTTTTTGTTAAACGTGACACATTGCTACGATGCACCTAGATTGCAACTCATCAACAGTCGAGTCATGCAAGAGACAGTATATTGCACATAACTATGTTCATTTCTCGTTAGCCAGCAATAAAAGGCAGGCGCAAAAACGTCGAAGCATTTCGAGTGCCAATTAAATCGCCACAAACATCCTGTAAGCCGAGATTATCGTATCGTAACAAGCATCGGAAACCTGCCCACTTCTCTCACACTGAATAAATTAAATAAAAACCCAATATAAAATAAATTAGAAATTGTTACACCAACGGTTGAGCACTGTTCTGTCTTGGGTTGGCTCATTAACTTTGCGCATAAGCGGAACTTAACGAGACGAAACCGAGTGAGGAAATATTTATATTTTATACATATTTCATGTTGTCTTCAAGATAATTTTGAGGCGCACAATTTGGTTTCCACATTGCTTATTTGTCTAATTTAATTATGTAGTCTCTCAATAGATGGCACTGTGCGGCGCTCAATTACCACGCAACGCACGTGCGACTACGGTCTATAGATATTTTATGTCGATTCAATTCCGTTTCCTTCTGAGTATTTACAAATAAGTAACTATGACTTCTTCAGTGTTTAAATAATTATCATCGTTTTCCATAAACATACTGATTAATTCGTTAAAAATATATAAGTTCAATACCTTATTCACTGGTTGGGACATTCGTAAGATAGATTCCATAGAAAAAAGCATAGGTTAACGCAAACTATTTTTGACATTCTGGAAAACCGTCTGTGGTTTTCGATACTTACACTTGTATAATACTTATTCTTAGTCAATTGTTGATATCACTTTGGCCTTTCTTCAGCAGTAGAACAATAATGAAAAGCTGATGACGATGATGAAGTGAAAAGTCTCATACCTATTTTATTTATTATTTTCTACTTTAACTAACTTTCAAGTTGAGCTAGGACTTACCTTCCATAAACTCTTTTTATCTCTAAATATGTTTAACAATTTCCTGTATTCGATAAAGACATTTTTTATTCTTAGATTTAACAAAATAGATATTGATTTCTTAATTACACCTGAGTTACCGGTGACGACAAAAACGCCAGTATTGTTATTAGCAAATATGTAACTTTTGCTTATTAAATAATATATCGTATTTTTTTACGTTAACTAGACTTGGGAAGAGACGGACCTCTGTGTCTGTTTCGACATTTCTTTTCAGAATAGACAGATAGAAAATGCCTGCTTTATCTAGTTTTTTATATTATAATTTTGACTTATAAAAGAGCTGTGTCTGATCTATTTGCAGTAAAAACCTCATCGTTTCATTGTAGTTCTATTGAATGTACTTATGCAGAATGTTGTTGCTGGCAGTTTGTGTGTGTTCCAGTTTGTTTTGATGGCGCGAGGATGCAGGGTAAGACAATGATCGAACAAATAGGGGTTAGTCACGCGACGCACGCCTAATCAGGGATCGACGATGTACCGCAGCGCTACCCGACGACGCTTATTTATGCCTTGCTGATATCAAACGACAGTTTTTATTACCAACCGATGCCCGTTATAACTCATACTACACTGTGCGCACGATTTTAACGAGTCCCTTTTAAAATAAAATATGTTGTTTTCCCATCCAATTACTATTTTCAATGAATGTGTTCACTGTTGAGTCTTCGTTTGAATCGGGTTATAACTAGAGTAATACATTATTTTAAAAAATTGCCAGTTACAAAAGTAGCCTAAGTATAATATAAAAGTTTACATGTCAATATTTGTGATTAAATTAGATTTTTTTATATGTAAGTTGTCATAAGAAATTAAGTTCCTAAAGTTAGCAATGCTTTTGCACCGTAACAGGAATTCCTACAGTATTTTCAAGTAAGTTGTTAAGTAAGTTCCTTTTAGGTATTAGTTCATTAGGGTTTATATTAGGAGTACGAGGAACATACCATTAGTCTTTTGAAAAAAAAATACTAATCGGTAAATAAAAACAAATATGCTTCAAAACCTCAAACTCTTATATCCTTCATAACACTTTATTAGATACGTTTACCAAAGTTTATTTGATCAGTGTTCGTGATTATAGAATCTAGCTACTAAAAAAGTGATCCATAATAAAAAAATAACCAACTTATTTATAGCTAACATGATACATGCAATATTTCACTAATATTAAATAATCCTTACAGACTTTTACAACAGTCGTCTAGGTACATTTATATATTTAAATTATACAGTATCTTCTTGACAGATTAAAAAACAAAAAAGGATATAGTTAATACAAACTCAACTGAAATTATGATTATCTGCCCATTGCGCAGTTGAGTAGCATATGCTAATAAGGATTATGTAGCAACAGTAAAAATATTAGTCAATCTATACTAATATTATAAAGAGGTAAAATTTGTAAGTTTGTATGTTTGTAATTTTGTATGTAGGGGGTAATCTTTGGAACCGTCGTTGGTCGGATTGCAAAAAATCTTTCACTGATAGCAGCTAGTTATTAATAAAATAGTAACATTTACAACAGCTTACGATTTTCGACATAACTTTTATTAGTGGAAGTTTTTGTTTCAAGAAAATTGCAGCGTAAGAGTCAATACAACTGGGGTTGCGGGGCATGCAATAAGGTAGGTACTGCGGCCTCAGCCTAGATCAGGAGAAGGAGATTCAGAGATTCGTCCCTTGATCCCTAACGCTCGTAGTCTCTCCTCACCCTGGCGCGAGAGTCATTTGATAATTTTCCTCTTACAAAATGTGTCAAAAATTATCAGAACAAAAAAAACCTACATTAATCTATTTTCTAAGTAATCACTTAATTTGAGTCTTAACCCAGTAGCAACAGTGTTGACTTAATTCACAGTTTCTTTATGAATAATTAAAACTAAAAATTTTAATCTAAATGTATGTAATTAAGATTAAGGCTCGTACCTAAGTCGTGCCTATTCCGAAGATAAAAATTCGGGTAACGCTTCGTTTACTTGCTCACTGTCAGTAGCATTGTAACTAAATATTCAAAATAAAACTGTCTTTTGTTGTGAAAATCTCATATACATAAGTGGAGAAAGCGTGGCATGTATGTTAAATAAACGCTTAGCTACTCAAGTAAAATCACGCAGAATTTGATTAAAAGTTGAAATTAATTTGAATTTGAATTAGTCAGACATATATTTTAAAATATTACCAGCTTGTTACAATGGTCTAGAAGTACAAAAGTTTACTGAGTGAGCCCATTTAAAGATACGAGTAGTAGTGATTGCAACAAACGAATTGTTGATTGAGGAGACAAATTAACAAATTAAGTGTCGTGGTGACACGGAGGTTAAGGTGCCCGCTTCTCAGGCATAGGTGTGAATTGGAGTTGGAAGTACCAATGTGACTTTTTCCGATGTACTTTCTATGATTATATAGATACCACTTACATACGGTGAAGGAAAACATCGCGAAGAAACCTGGACTTAAGTTTGAAAACGCCAATCCGCCTTCAAGCGTGGTGATTAATGCTCAAACCTTCACCGTGTGCACAGAGATCTTTGCGCAGCACTTTTAAACTGATGATGAGAGTAAATAATTAGTTTGAAACTATTGAATTCTAAATATGTACTTTATGTATATATTATTCTCTCACAAGAAACTTGTAAAGCTGTTGATGTCCGTCTAAAGGAAAATGTTCTGCAAATATTCATGAAAATTGAAAACTATTTCTTAAGAAGCCTCCGGGCTAGTTTGATGCTGCTTGAACTCATTTGCATCTCAACTCATTCATCGATTTAAAAAAAAAGTATCATGAATATTTATTTTAAGTTTGGAAGCAACTTACGCTCGAAACTATTAATGATTATCTAAAAAAAAGAAAAAAAGAAATATAGCCTGACTTCTAAGTACTTACCAGTCTAAGTTGTAGGTACGTGTTAAATTGTTTCGGGACTGGGTGGTTTGTGTTTGTGAAATTGTATGTTTGTAAACGAACCCACGATACGGGGCCGGGGTTGCGGGGTAAGCGCTATGAGGTACCGCGACCTCGGCACAAAGCAGGAGAAGGAACAGGGAGGTTTTTAGTCAGTAAGAGTCTGACTCTCCCTCCTGCCAGGCCCTGGGCGGGAGAAGTCATTTGATGATTGGTGATTTTCCCCTCACAAAAAAAAATACGATACGGGAGTAAATACTAATGTGGGGCAATGTCCTTTAAAAAAATAGTTAGGCAGACAGGCTGACGATAATGATAATAATGTGTGGAATTTTGTACATAAAATAAATAGTGCATCAAATCTGCGGAAAGGAATCCTTTTGAACAGGTAAGAAGCTTCTTCATATTTAGTACCACAATCGATATATTATTAAGTTGACTTTAAGTTTATTGATTGACATGCAATTATATTCTTTAATCTTTACCAACCTCATAGACGAAAATCTGTTGAAAAATCGTATGAAATTTTGACATATACAACAAAACAAAACAATCACTATAAAATTGTGATTTTAGTGTGATATATAAAATTGCACTCTTTTGTAATAAAAGCACTTTAAAGTTTGAAACATTTTAGTTTTTAAATTGTGATGGTCAGCAAAGCCGCTGAGCCCAGACAGGTGAATATTTTATTGGAATGTCACCTCTTTTCTTTGTGTGAATTCCCCCAACATCGCGGTTAGTTCAACTTTGGACAGATTTAGTCCGTCTGGTACCCAGTATTCGTAAGCGCAACTGATTAAAATATCATTACACTTTTTTATTTTCAGAAATATTCATATAAACCTAACTATACATAGACAATTGTGATTCTTTACCGGATTGAACACATTCATAGTTCATACCTTTGCCAACTTTATGAATAAATAAGCAAAAAAAGTCACGTGCAGAGTTAGGTAATAAATTCTTTTCTTTTTCGTTGTACATTGGTCCACCTGAAATTACACCACCCAAAAATTATTGAAAGTGATAGACTCATTTGCCACAAATTACGCGTGTATGGTGACTAGCGCCCAATTACATTATACCGTTCATCCATCTAACAAAAAAGTGGCAAAAACATTTCTGTCTATCATTTAAGGATCAAAATTCGTCAAGTTTTATATATTTTTTTATGTGGTAAGTAGCTGCCGGATACCTGATGGTAAGCTATCTGCGTTGCCCATGGACACTCGCAAATAAAGAGGGGTTACGAATGCGTCGCCGACCTTTTTGGGATAAGGGATTTGGAGATTTGATGATTGGGGAGGGGAAGGATTGGGCCTCCGGTAGCCTCACTCATATGGCGAAACACAACGTTGTGGTTATTTCACGCCAGTTTTCTGTCAGGCCGTGGTATCGCTTCAGTCGATCCGTTCGTTTATATAATTTTATTTGACACAAAATAACAGTCTACTAAACATATCTATGTCTACTAACATATTTATCGAGTTCGAAGAACTTGTGCATAATATCTCTGTAAAGCTTTGCCAAAACACAATAAAAACCATATCTACCCACTGAAAACAAGTACGATAACTTTAACAACATGGCAAAATGCATACAAAGTGGATAGCACTTTGAATGTGATATCGTAAATATGCATTTTTAACTTATCGTCCCAGCTTGTAAATGTACGAAAGAATAATGCACTTGGTGTATAATTTTTTGGTGTCTATTCTCTTGAATAAATGGTAGCCAGATACCCTATGGTACGATCCTTTATAACGCTCGATCATCTATCTTTATCTCACACTGTAGCTTTGATCGTTTTGTTAGAGGAATAAAATATTACAGTTTTCAGAGGTTTAAGAAAGAATTGCTGGAAAAAGAATGTTTTTTAAGGATACTGGTTATTAGTACCAAATTGTAGCTAAGATTCTATTATTGATAGGAATATTCAAGTTCATTTTTTTCTTTCGTATACCTAAATATTTTCTAATACAGCTTAAGCATACAACACGAAAATTATACATTAATGTGCTTTTTGCTTATTTGTTTAGTCTAGTTGTAATGCAAGCATTATCATTTTAAAAGCGTTTAAAAGTCGAAGGCTCGTTATCACAATATGACGCAAATTGGACTCGATTCAATTAATATTGATTCACTGACTAAAAATTTCTTACTTCTCGCAGAATAATTCAAACTTTTATAATAAATAGTACATTTTACAGCATAGAGGACAAACTTCATGTAAAAATATTATAAAAATTACCATTGATTAATAGCCTTCTAGCCTTACATAGGACTTACATGATGCATACTTAAAGTGAATACCTAAATAAAAATAATAAGCTAACGGAAGATGGTAAATACAGCATTTAAACAAAAAAAAAACGCATATTCTTACAAATCATTTCATTCCTATTGATGACTATCTGCAACCTAATTTAATAAAGACAATTAAGAAATGTTCGATATTTTAAAATACATTAACGCAAATATATTATGTAAACTAGACTATGAGAGAAATCTAAAGCATTAGAGCTCTTTGTTAAAGCGGTCGTTTAAGGAAATGCCAACCAATATCTGCCGCCAAGCAGCGTCGAGTGTTCCGGTTTGCAAGGAATATGTGAATCGATGTAATTACAGGCACATAAGACATTTCAGCTCTGCCTTACTGCGCGTGAACTGAATCTTCTATAGATATAGTGCATCCTTCCTTAAACTAAGACCACATAAATCTTGCGTATAATCTATACTGATTTGACTTTTGGATGTCTGCAAATCTTAAAATTGATTTCAATATAAATGTTTGCTTATAGTAAAATAAAAGATTCATAAATAAAACTTTTTTATTACCAAAATTTGCTAAATTACGTAAAAGTAACAAACCAAAAATAGCCATACTTTCAAGCTGATGTAGGTATATGAAAACATAAACGATATTCAAAAAGACATGTATAAGATACAAAGATATAATAACATCTCCATTACCATTCTGGTTTCTTTGCTTGTCATTCACAAAATGAGGGGCACTTTAAAGTTTCTTAATAAACAAAGTAACACAAAATATTTATAATGAATCGTAAAACTGTTACCGCGAGGTGAATCTCCTCAACGTCGGCGTCGCTCGTGGTTGTTGTCTTAATGCATGATTACTCGTTCCTCCCACCGCATCGAGCGGCTATCATTGGCTCTCACCGACCAGACGCCGCCTCCACTCCAGCGCACACTCTACTTCAAAACAACTCCATCCACTCAATAAACAAGTCTTGAAGTCCATTGTCTCCGCACCATTATGCCGTCACATCGACATGTTATGCAGCCCCGTCATAGATCTGTTAGAAATAAATAACAAAAAACATCGGCTACTCTGGCATGGCCACTCATTAGCCTCACTTCTTTAATAAATAACACTTTGATACGTGATTATTTATCTCGTATCTAGTTATCATTTGACACTTGTTTTTGTGATTTATTAACAATAAATTGAAATGTTACCGGTTAGTTTTTTAACAGCTATAATGTCTGAACATGTTTTGCGCTGTAGTCATATTATGGATAGTGTTTCATTACTGTAACTGTGCAAGTGAAGTTAGATGTGGGTCGTTAATTAGGTGTGCCATAGTCTGAAAAATGAAGGGCATGTACAGGTTGAGGCAGCGTCAGGAGCGTGAAATGTGGCGCCGGCGAGTGGAAGTCGCCGGGGAGCTGCGAACACGACAGAGGGCGGGGGAATAGCGCCTCCGCGGGAATAAAACCACCGTTTGCCTCTGACGCCCGCGCTTCCCTTATTGCAAAAAGTCGAAGACGGAACGAGGCGACAACCACAGAGGCTCGCCTCCACGCTGCCGCGGATAAAATCGACATAGAATTAAAGAAAAATACAAAAATCACTCATTGTTCTCATAAAATGAATGTGCTGGGAGTTGAATGTGAGGCTTTTTGTGAAAATATTCTCATACTTTTAAATGGGATCTCGTGTGGCGCCTCCTAATGATTCGTCCTTTTTGCGGCGGCGATGCGCGCGCCGGCCGGACTCTCTCAACATCTCTAGGCTTTTGGTGTGTCGGCGCATGTCACCACTTTAACTTTTTGTTTTACTGTTTCGGATGTAAATTAAACAGTTTAGGCGGCATTGTTCTCAAAAACGGCGGAGATAAGAAAGGGAAATTTTCATTATTGGGTTCGTTTTTTGTTTAATTTATTATGTTTCAGTTATAGCTTTTCTTTGGTAGATAGATTTACTTAACACATTCAGTCATTAACAAATCATCGGTATACAGTAAAATTAGATCTTTTCGTTCTGCAGCTGCAAGGACACCAGCGTAATTTAAGATTACCACAGCTTAGCATATAAGGCCTCAAAAACCCAATTAATACTCTAAATTACTCTAATTTTATTTTTCCTTACAAAACTTTTGAGTAAGTATATTAATAATCAATCAATGAACAATATACAAATGCTTTAAAATATTTCTTATAAGTAAAGTATTTTTTAGAACATTCGTCTCCTTACTATTCTATATTATCAGTAAACAAATCCAGATCATAAGCTCACTGTACTTTATGTGCGTACATACGTTCAGAATTATAACCCGTAAAGTCTTGTAAATACCAAATCTGTCAGCAACATTCACATTTTCATCCACAAAACGTCG